ATTTCTGTTTGTGTCAGTTAATTTCTGTTTGTGTCAGTTGACATGTTCATACATAACCTTCTAATAATCCTTCCATTTACATCTCCAGCTGATAATATTTTATTAATGCTAACTTTCAAATGATTTATATTATTAAAAAATAAATAAATAAAAGTATATCTGCTATCAACAATTGGATCACTCCCAATTACCCACTGTTCACAAGTAATCTGATTGTATGATATAGGAATTCCTTTCATTGTAAAGAATTAACTTCTGTACAAAATTTAAAAATTGTTTGACTTATCATGTAAAAACAAAGTGTTGATGGACAAATGGATGGACAATGCAATTCTAATTGTGCTCCCGCATTCCATGCAAGGTCCTAAATATCACAAAATAATAAGTATACTACTTCAAAGAAATTAAGGCATATTGACTGAATGCAGTTAAAAAGTATAGCTGTTGCTTGATTTCTGAAACTTTTGAGGGTTTGAGATAATGAAGATGACAATCATATTTTTAATTCCAAAAATTATATGTATTAATCACTTTAAAATATCCCTTGTATATTACATTTTTTTTAACTGACCAAACCTCAACAGCAATCTTTGTACCGGTACACCCAAAAACAAAAACAAAAACATGAAACCCAACACACCTAATGACAGTTGACCAAACTAGTAAATACCATTAATTTCATTGTATTATAGAGATTGCATGTATCTATTGCTATGTATACATGTGTATATATCTGATGCATGTAGGTCCATTAGAAGCCAGCTAGGACCCAGTCCCAAACAAATCCTTTTAAAATTACCCAAAAATCAAGATGAAAATTCACTGACAAGCACTGTTTAATTCATCAGAAATCTAAATTTTTGGATTGTAATACAGTGTACTTAATTTATAAACTGAGATGTGAATATTAAAAATTAGGATAAACTTTCAATCTATTTTTAGAGTCTTTACTTTGCAGTAGAATGCAACTTGCACAAGATGTCAATATTTCTCTATTTTTAACTTTTTGAATCTAAAATTCTAATTGAAATGGTATAGGATTTAATTTGTACTAAAAATGGTCAATTAAATCTTGCTAAAATTAGATCAACATGCAGTTCTTAGTTAATGTAGATACCACGGTATAGCAATATCCAATCAAGGAAATTGTCTTGCATGTAGCAGACTGAGCTGTTGAGCTACTTGATATACCTGCAGTCAAACCTTGTTATCTCGAACTCGATGGGACCAAATTAAAATCAAACCTAAAAGTATCCAAAGATTTGAGATAATTAAATGTAAAAAAAACATTAAGAACATATGGTTGGGACAGACAACTCGCTTTGACATATCACTGGTATTCAAGATATTGGTGTTCAGGATATTGAAGATCAACTGTATTAGCCATCTAGACACTGTTTCTTCTCCTTATTTCAATTTACCATGTTTACTTTCACTTATTTTTCTTCTTACTCATCAATTATTTTAGTAACAGGTTAATTAGAGTTGTTGGGTTAAGCAGTCAATAATATATTTTTTTAAATAACTTTTTAACTTTTGATACAGAATTATAAGGCTTAATCCATGTGCGACATTATGTGTTAGCTAAAGGACACACAAATCTTTCCTTATAGATGGACTTTTCTTTGAAATAATTGTTTTTATATCTATGAAATTATTTGATAAGTATGAAATTTGCTTTTATTTCAGTAGACGAATTTCGTCAACAACCCTAAGCCTCTTACCAATGAAAATGACAGTGAATGTCACATAAATCACATTGTCTTGCCCCATGTATTGGTACAATTTCACCATGATATTATTAATTATAGACCATTTAATCATGTTTAATAATCTGCACTATATAACTGCCTTTAAAAATATATTTTTTATAGGTAGGCCCCTACATTACATGTACTGTCAGTAGGAGCAGTCAAATGACCATGTGTCTAAAATCATGTCTGATTTGTACATCCTCTCTCTCTTAAACGGACCCTTGGCTTTCTTTAAAAGTAGAGGAATCCACGCCTGTGTTCGTTTAAAGCAACATGCATGTTTAATTGGTAAATGAATAAACTAATTTTATAGTATAGATTTTTTTGTATTTTATAAATATTTACATTTAACATGTTTAATAGGTTGTGCGTGACAATGTACTACATGTACATATATTTGTGAATGAGGACCGCGTGTACAGTTCTAAGCTTACATGTAACAGTTAAAGTTTGTTTATGTGTATATACTCACTGATACTAACATCGTGGACAGCTGGTGAATGCGCACCCGAAATGCATCTTGTAATGGAACAGCTGATCACTGAACAGTCGCCTATGACGGCGTCGAAGTTAGGATTTAGTTCCCTATACCAACCAATAAAAAGTTCTTAATCACATATTTCACATAAATCACAAGTTGCAGCTTCGTATTTAATCCACTGAGAAAACACTAAGCAGTCTACATTTTGCATGCTTAGTCGCCGATCTTGGTAGTCGGTGCACGTGCTTTTAATTGTCAGATTCCCGGGTGCGTTTGATTTAATGCAATTGTAAGATCACATTTTGAATGAACGATTTATGAATACAGTCATGTTACTGTAGACTTCATACTGTTTGATGACTGTTCCAAAAATACTGACCAGATCTATAGGATTTATTGTATACTAGAAAACAAAGCTACTTTATGGATATGCCCCTCATTATATGACAATAATATTACATATATTATTTATTTATTATATATATTCATTTTGCTTCTCGACAAGGTATTTTTGGTCGGTAGTGCCCTTGAAATGTTTGGATGCCCCCCCCCCCCTTTCCAAATTAAAACTGCTTCCTATGGGCCTGAATATACAACTATATCATGCGCGGATCCAGGAAATTTTCCGCAGGATCAGATACAATATCGAACTGAGAAATTATTTTGTCAAGCAAACAACTATTTCACATGGGGTCTGTGTTTTCTATAAGGAGGGGGTATCCAACAGTTTAATTAGACTGGGGTTTCAACATTTCCTTACCTCCCCCCTTTCCCCCGTCGTTTAAGTCTGCGATGGCAAACTGCATAATTATAAATTTTACATCCTTGACGTTGTTTGCAGGTAATTGAACGTGCTGGATTATTTTTTTTTTAAGTCAACTTCCCTCCTTTTATTTTATTTTATTTTTTTGTAAAATAAGATTTCAGTATTATAGTAATTAAAGTTAGCCCCTACGTTTTTTTTTTTTTTTTTTTTTTTTTTTTGTTGTTTTTTTTTTTATTTATTTAACATTTTAATTCTTATGCCACGGTCTAATTTAAATTAGCCCCTATACGTGTACGTACTGTTATGCCATAACAAAAAAATAACACGGAGGGGCTAATTTTAATTCGACTGAATGAGAGTTTTGTATGCCTGTCAGGTATCTAATTACTTCAAATAAGTGGTGAATATGACAATACATTATGCTTATTACATGTATCATATAATAGCGAACTGATTAACATGATTAAGGGCATGAACAATGACCCGATGACCTCGAGGCTGACAGTGAAAACACTGATATACAATATATATCGTTTAGGTCTGCGATGGCAAACTGCATAATTATAAATTTTACATCCTTGACGTTGTTTGCAGGTAATTGATTGCTGGATTATTTTTTTTTTAAAGTCAACTTCCCTCCTTTTATTTTATTTTATTTTTTTGTAAAATAAGATTTCAGTATTATAGTAATTAAAATTAGCCCCTACGTTTTTTTTATGCCACGGTCTAATTTAAATTAGCCCCTATACGTGTACGTACTGTTATGCCATAACAAAAAAATAAAACGGAGGGGCTAATTTTAATTCGACTGAATGAGAGTTTTGTATGCCTGTCAGGTATCTAATTACTTCAAATAAGTGGTGAATATGACAATACATTATGCTTATTACATGTATCATATAATAGAGAACTGATTAACATGATTAAGGGCATTTTGGGAGTGCATTAGGCCTATCATAAGATTTTTTTTCGGATTCACCTCCTTGTAAATGTATTTCGAATATGTTCATTTTCATTTCATTTCATTTCATTTTCATTCACTCACACCAACATCAGTGGTACATGAGGTACAATAAATTAGTCGTCATAATTGTGACAAAAATAACTAGTATGTCTGTTTATTCTTAGTATCAAAGCTTTTCATCAAAAAATATAAAAGTTACGGCTATATTAAGTATATTGGTCATTAAACACATTGCACGCGCGCGCATGTGCATGATGGCCACATCATCCTGTCTACACTTTTAATATATCTGTATATTCTAAATATCAAAGCTTTTCATCAAAAAATATAAAAAGTACGGCTATATTAAGTAAATTGGTCATTTAACACATTGCACGCGCGCGCACGTGCATGCATATGCATGCATGTGCATGATGATCATGTCGTCTTGTCTACACTTTAAATACATATAAATATTTTGAGTATCAAAGCATTTCATCAAAAAATTTCAAAGTTACGACTATATCAAGTAAATTGGTCATTTTACGCTTTGCGCGTGCGCGCACGTGCATGCATGTGCATGTTGACCATGTCATCTTGTTCATACTTTTAATATATCCTTATATTCTGAGTATCAAAGCATTTTATCAAAAAATATAAAAGTTACAGCTATATCAAGTATATTGGTCATTTTACGCATTGCACGCGCACGCACGTGCATGCGCGTGCGCGCAAAATGACCTTCGTTCCGCAAATCTACATAACATGCCTAGTAACCCTAAAAAGGTTTCACCTCAATCGGATGTGTAGTTTCGGAGATCACTCACGGACAAAAAAGTACCCAGGAAGAAAAATAATAATAATAATAATAAGAAACAGAGTAAAAACAATATGTTCCCAAACTTCGTTTGGGGAACATAATAAATATAATTATGATACAATAGCATAAATGAGGGGCATATACACATGTACATAGTATAGCAATAAATATACAATGAAAGAAGAAGAGAAGAAAAAAATGGTATGATAACATTTAAAATATGGAGGACAGACGGTGTCGTTTATTTTAGATATAAATATACAAAGGTTTTTTTAAAGTTTTTAAGTTTGTCGTTGACATAATTTCAGAAAACTTAAGTGTATTTGGCGTTTTACAAAATCTGGGATGTAAAAGATTCTTTCTGATGCTGTTCAATGTTTTACATTCTAGGATGAAATGAAATTCGTCTGCTATTTGCCCTGTATTACACAATTTACAAACTCTTTCATCCAGTGGAATATTTGACCATCTACCAGTTTCAATTGGGAGGTGGTGGTTTGAAGTTCTAAATTTTATTAGTATTTTTTGGAGTTTACTAGGTAAAATACTTAGATATTTTTCAAATCCAAAATCACTCTTAAAAATTTTGTAAATTTGACCTTTTGATGAATTATTTATATCACTATGCCATTTTTGAATAAATTGGTCGCTTAATCTTTGCTTCACTGCTGCAAGTACCCAATTCCTGTCAATGGGACTTTGTTCATACCAAATGTTGGAGAACCCACAAGAGGTTAAAATTTTATAAATGAAATCTACCCATAGGTTTTTTGGACCTCCTTGAAAATATTGAGAACATAGATATTTATACAAAACACAAACTATTTTGTTTTCTAAAGAATTCGGGGTAAGTAATTTTAACCAGTAGGAGATCATTCTTGTATAAATATTAATATACAATGGGAATCGCCCAGTCTCCCCATACACCATATACGAGGCCGTACTACTCTTTAAATGGAAAATATGTTTTAAAAATTTTAAATGTACACGTTCAATGATGTCGAGATTTTCATAACCCCAAATTTCACAGCCATAAGTCAAAATTGGAACTGTTACAACAACTTTATCAAAAAAATCTAACTGACATTCAATTGGTAAGTTAAATTGTCTTATCTTCCTTATAACACCATACATTGCTTTCTGTGCTTGTTCACATAAATGTTTTTTGGCCTTACAAAATGAACCTGAGCGTGAAAATATTATCCCAAGATACTTAAATTCTTTTACATTTTCAATTGCATTATTATTATAATAAAATACCTTTTTTGACATTGGTCCTTTAGAAAACACTAGAATTTCTGTCTTACTAACATTAACATCAAAGGTCGCTACAATGTAAGCCAGACGTGTTTTGGGCAGCTCCGGAAATTTATACTTTATTATTGAAATTCGACGAAAAATAAAGAATCATATGTGACTGAAATGTTTCTAGGATGTTTACTGAGGATACAGTACAGTGAGTAATCAAAAGAAATGTAATCTGTCCAGTTAATCATTGAGAAATATATAGCTGGCTCGGTAGCTTTGCTCTGTGAGTAGTAATCATCGGCCATTCAGTAACATTATGGTTGCATGTTTAATGCTCCAGTATGCCTAGGAATAAAAAAACCCTCTTATTCTACCTCGAATAAATACTCCAGTGAATTTCTTATTAAACCTGCTCAAAAAAGATCACGGTCTGAAATAGAATCTAGTTATAGTAGTCAAAGTGACACTTCCCTAATGGCAACTAGCGACGCGACCAGCCATGATCACAATGAAGAAATAAATAAACTTAACTCTCTCTTGGACAGTATCTCTAAAGATGAAATAGCTACAAAGAAGGCTGTAGAAGTTATACTCAGTAAGGAAAACTTCAAAAATACAATATCAGAGGCCCTTGTAGAAAAGGTGACTCAACTTGAGTCACAGGTTGAAAATCTTACCCTACGGATGGACGATATGGAACAATATTCCAGGCGTAACTGTCTGAAGTTTACGGGAATCCCCGAGAACCCAGAAGAAAATACCGACCAAATTATCTTGAATGTAGTTAACAAGTATGTCCTTGATACACAAGATGCAAAAATAGGTCTCGATCGCATCAGCAGATCCCACAGGGTGGGCAGACCACTCAAAAACGATAACAATCGTGGAGTCCAGGGCAATACTCAACGTCCCCGTGATATTATTGTTAAATTCGTTTCATATAGAGATCGGGCAGTCATTTATGCAAAGAAAAGTAATTTAAAGTCATTCAACGAAAATGAACAGAACACTTACAAAATCTTTATAAACGAAGCATTAACAAGGAAACGCTCAGAACTTCTCTTTCATGCCAGAAAGCTCGTGAAAGACAATGTGATAGACCAGGCTTGGACCTATGATGGAAATATACTCGTTAAAACACTAGCCGGGAAAAAACAAACTATTAGAAGTTTTGACGACTTACAAAAACTCCAACATTATGGTGGCCAATACCGAAAAACCACAGCTACAATGACATCCACTCCATTGCATAAGTGTTGACATGAACACATGGTTATTCAAATCTTAGTCTCTCAGGCGCTTAAGGGGATTTTCCCATTTCTATAAATAATACTCAGTTCATTTTCTTTACTTACCTTTAGTATTTATTATTTATTGTTTGGAGCTGCACTGCAATACGTGCCAGTTTATCAGTATGTTATATCTACTGAACTTTATCTTGTATATATGTTGGTTGGTTGTATGGAATATAATTCACAGTTACATCCAACAGTTGTACATAAAGATTGTGACCATGCACTTCATTCTTAAGAATGCCTTAGACTTGAAATTGTTTATGTTCATATTTTGCTCTCACATTTTTCGCCTACTTCAATTCCTGCACCTATTTCTGCATTTTTCGTGTTTCCAATTTTTTTTGCACGTATTTTGTTATACGCCTGTTTTTTGACTCAGTTGACCTAATTTTGATTGTTTACTTCCTGTCAAAACTGAAAGTAAGAAAACCTGGAATGGCTGTGGTGAATTTGGCCGAGATGATTATTTTTGACACTCATGACTAAACTTAAAAATATTGAAAGTTATTTGATATCACAGCCATCAATTTATTCCGAAAGATTTCAAACTTCTAAAGGTATGTTATTGCTCCCCAGCTTTTTAGTTTTGTACTATCTACTTTTAATTGGTGGCGTTGAATTGAATCCAGGTCCCACGTTCAATGCATCATCAACTTATATAAAAATAGTACATAATAATGTTTGTAGTCTCCTGCCAAAAGTCGATATTGTTTATAATGAACTGTCAGACTTTGATATCATTGGAATTACAGAAAGTCATCTTGATAGTACAATACCTACCGACGATATAGAATTTGAAGGATTTCAAACACCAATTAGGTTAGATTGTAACAGATATGGAGGGGGTGTCGTTCTATATGTTAAAAACAATCTTAAATTTACTCAAAGATCTGAGATCAAAGATCTCTCTAACCCAAACATTGAAATTTTATGGGCTGAAATTCAAAATTCTACAAATAAATTTCTAGTAGGAGTATTATATAGACCACCAAACTCAAAGGCAGATTTTATTGACTATATTGCATCTTCCCTAGAAAATGCCCTTAAGGTAGTACCTATGTCGGAAAAGTCTTTGTCACAAGATTTTCAAACTTTTCAAAATGATAAATTAGCTCTCGCTTATCAATCAGTTAAAAATATATGGTATGTTTCTTTGTTATTAAATGTAGTGCAGTCTGTGCAACTTGGAAGGATAATTTTACACAGCGACTATATATTTTCAGCCATTTTAAGGGTACTGGTCATAAAGAGAATATAATAAATCACTAAAATACTTCTTCAAACATCGTCGTTTATAGACTTTATTAACTGAACCATATTAAGCAATATTATTCAAGAATAAATTCTTTTTATTCAATTGACATAAAAGATTAAGTCCACATTTCAATGAATATAGGCAAATGTGCTCAATATTTTTTGAGTCAATTTACCACCTAAATTTGTAAATATTTTTCAAAAGTCTTTGTCAGAATGTTTTCAATCTTTAATATGATGAAGAACATACCCAAATAATTACAAAAAGTGATTAAAACATATACCTTTCCCCGCAAACGAATGAGAACACTCTATTTATCCATACTTCTTTTGTTGACCTTTTTGCACTTAGACAGGATTTAATTATTAAATTACTGTTTTGGGGTTACGTTCAGATTTACAATGTGAATATTTATCAAAAAATGTATTTTTTTTATTTAAAAAGATAATATTTTCGGGAAACATTATTATTATACACCAACCATTATGAATAATTAACAAATAATTATGAAAGGGAATGCACGTCATTTCATGATAGACATTACAAAATTTACACACAATTTTTAACAGATCTTTGACTCAGACACGTTTCATCAAGATATTGTACTATTTAGATTTCTTAGGATTTTTGCTTTCCTTCAAAATAGTTGCATATCATTCACATTATCACAGTTGTGTAACTTCATTACATGAGACATTCTTGAAGAAAGTACGGGAAAAAAGTAACATTAAATTATGACGTCATAATGGATCTAGCACCAAGAAAACAGTCTAAACTAATTTTCTCAGTATGACGTCATACGACGTAGGTTCTACGTTAACACAAATTTGCCAGTATTTCTAGTAGGCGACTTTAATATTGATATGATGTCTAAGGGAAATAATGCATTTAAAAGTTTACTAAATAAATTTTCCTTAACAAATTTAATAAACCAGCCAACTAACTTTACTTCACAAAAGGGAACATGCATTGACCTTATACTTACAAACAATACTGAAAAAGTTGAATCAGTGGTAGTGCTAACCCCATTTTGCAGCACACATAGTCCAGTGGGTGTTGATGTAAAATTCAAAACATTTAAACAATGTGCATATAAAAGAGTAGTTAGAAATTACTCAAAGGCTGATTATAAATCACTTAATAAAAACCTCTCAGACGTGGATTGGGATGGAGAGGTTTTTAATACTCAGAACATTAATGAAGTCTATACCAATTTTACTAGAGTATATAATTACCATGTTGACAAAAATATACCTAAAAAAGTTGTTGTAATTCGTCCATCTGATAAACCTTTTATGACAAGTTCAATTAGACGTAAAATGAGACAAAGAAATAGGGTACATTATAAAGCAAAAAAGACTAATAGTGATTATCAGTGGAGTAAATATCGGAGTCTAAGGAACGAAGTTATAATTATGGTACGACAGGCTAAGGATACTTACAAACAAAAGATTACATCACAAATCTTAGACAAAACTATTCCTCCTGGTAAATGGTGGAGAATTGTGAAATCATTAACTAAATTTGCCAATAAAAACAAAGTACCTCCACCACTGAAATCTAATGGTAATATTTTCATCCATCCCACTGATAAGGCTACCCAACTGAATAAACATTTTGCAGAGATTTCTCATATTGAACATTATAGAGAACCCCAATTGCCCCCTCAAGGACCTGGTCCCCCATATTCTATAGACTCCATAAGTATTTCAACTCAAGATGTTATTGATCAACTTGAAAATTTAAACATATCAAAACCTCCTGGTCCTGATGGAATTGCACCACAAGTATTAAAAAATATAATTCCTGCCATTAGCAGACCTCTCACTAAATTATTCAATCTCTCCTTAAAAATTAATAAAATACCATATATTTGGAAGCAATCGGATATAACACCTGTATTCAAAAATAAAGGGAGCCCAGAAGACCCAGCAAACTACAGACCAATTTCACTTACCAGTAGTCTGTGTAAAATCATGGAAAAAATTGTATTTAAATATCTGTACAATTATATGTTTAATCACAATTTTCTCTCTAAGAACCAGTCAGGCTTCCAGCCAGGTGACTCCACTGTTAATCAACTTGTTGAAATTTATAACACAATTATATCAAACCTTGATCAAGGTAAAGATGTTAGATTTGTCTTTTGTGACATATCTAAGGCTTTTGATAAAGTATTGCATAAAGGACTGTTATATAAATTACAACAGTATGGTTTCACAGGTGATATCTTAAGTTGGATTGAGAATTTTCTCTGTGATAGAGTCCAGAAGGTAGTGTTAGAAGGATACTCCTCTGGATTGGAAAGTGTTAATGCTGGAGTCCCGCAAGGGTCAGTTTTAGGTCCATTTCTTTTTCTTATCTATATCAATGACATAACCGAAAACATACAAAACCAAATAAGACTGTTTGCAGATGACACATCATTGTTTGTTATTGTAGATGCTGACACAGTCAGCCCAGCAAAATATATCTTTCATTTGTTCGACCAGTTGTAGAATATGGGGATGTGGTATGGGATAATTGCACTGAAGAACAATCCAAATTACTGAAAAGTGTTCAGGTGGAAGCTGCAAGAATAATTACAGGTATTAGGTGCAATACATCAAAAACTAACCTATATAATGAGTTGGGATGGGAAACCTTAAGTTCAAGAAGGGAAAAGCATAAGCTCACACTGATGTATAAAATTCTTAATAACCTTACCCCCGATTACATGTATAATATGCTCAAAGGATGTATGCCAATTCAGCATAATTATAATTTACGCAACCAAAACTCATATCGTATCCCAATCACTCGAACAGTGTCTTACCATAATAGTTTTGTACCATCCACAATATCCTTATGGAATAATTTACCTGATGATTGTAGAACTTCCCCTACATTGCAAAATTTCAAAAAAAAGATTAACCTACACCAATCCCTACCAGAAAAATAAAGTCAGGTTGTACAATTATGGGAATAGAATTGAAAATATACTACATTGCCAGTTGAGAAATAAATGTAGTAACCTTAATGCTGATCTTTTTAAAGACCACCTTAATGATTCACAAAAATGTACAAATTGTGGACACCAAATTGAAGATTCAATACATTTTTTCATGTATTGCCCACAATATGTTCTTCAAAGACAGATGCTGATTAAATATATGAATGAGAAAGACATACCAGTTAATATAGATAATATACTATATGGTGCTGAATCCTTATGTTTAGAAGACAACTTTTCATTTTTTGATCATATACATACCTTTATAAGAAACTCAAAGAGGTTTTCACTGAAATCTTAGTTTATCATGATATGCTAGGAAGAATAATATCTCATTTTAGGTATGTTAAGGAAGTTTTTCCACTCTGAGTCAACTTTATTATGTTTTTTTTTCTTTTTATGGTCTTTCTCTGTCTCTATTTACTCTCTCTCTCTCTCTCTTTCACCCTCTGTGGATTCACTTTATACATGTACCAATTAATGGTTTATTTTATATACTGCTTTTCAATGTTAAATGTACTTTGTTATGTTTTTTTTCTCTTAATTTTACTCTCTCTTTCTCTGGATTCACCTTATATATGTACCAATTAATGATCTATTTTACATACTGTTTTCAATATTAAATGTACCAATAATTGTTATATGTACCTTGACCTATGGAGAGAACGATTATAGGCATTATGCCTGCTGTTCAATCCATTTCATTTGTAATGAATAAATATATTTTAAACTAACTATTAACATTAAGTTTCCATTGTGAACAATACAAATAAAAATCATCCAAAGCCTTTTGCAGATCTACATCTGTTTCAGCCAAGATAACAGTATCGTCTGCATATAACAAAATGAAAAGCTTAAGATACACATATAATTCTTCTTCAATAGCGTCAGTTATGCTTTGTAAACCAATAATATTTCTGTCTGAGAGAAACTCTTCCAGGTCATTGATATATAAGGAAAATAAAAAAGGCGATAGATTTTCACCTTGGCGAACACCAACATTACAGTTAAAATAATCTTTGATTGTGCCATTCAGATTTATCATAGATTTAATTCCTATATACATATTTTTGATGTAGTTAAAACATTTTCCACTAACCCCACTCTTAAATAGCTTATGCCACAATCCAAATCTCCAAACCGTATCAAAAGCTTGTTTAAAGTCAATGAAAGCGCAGAGTTTTTTCTTTCTTTGAAAAAAAATCTGACATAAAAGCTGTAAGGTAACTATATGATCTAAAGTTGAGTACCCTTTTCTAAACCCTGTTTGACTCTCATTACTTAAATTTACTTCTTCAGCAAATGTTTCCAAACGTGTGCAAAAAATACTTGTAAATAATTTTCCTAAGCAGCTCAATAATGTTATGGGTCGATAATTTTCTGGTTGTGTTGGATCACCCTTATTTTTATAAATAGGTTAAACAATGCCAATTAACCATTCATCCGGGACGGTACCTGAATCAAATATTAAATTGAACAGTTTTCTATATACGGGTAAAAATATAGTAATTGTTGAAGTAATACGAGGGTTGTTCGAAAAGTTCGTGGACGATGTCAATCTTTGTTATACTACTTCCAAGAAATTTAAAATAAGCACAATATCATGTGTAAAAATATTTGTTTTGTTGATCTGTGAAATTTCATTTCGTTCGATTAGATAGAAATTAATTTACTTCATTTTAAAATCAACATGTTTTATAACCACGGCGCACACTTAAAAGCAATGTAACGTCAAAAACATAGCGTCAAGAGTTTCTTAAATATTCTATCCCTATACAATCACACAGTATAGTCCAATACCCAAGTATTAAAAACCTTTTTCAATCACTTGACATTTATTTTTCTAACAATTGTTCTCGTTTTATAATTTCCTTTGTTAATGTTCAATTTCTTTTACCGCTTAACTGTGCTTTCAAAAAATCAGCAACTCTGAAGCGGCTACGCCTTTCCATCTTTCCATGAAGTCCCAACTTTTAAAAGTTTTTGTTCAGATTTTTACAGTTAAACCGTTTCTTCACAGATTTTCCTCGTCCGATACAGAGTCTCTGTCACTCAAATACCGCCTCTACCATTTACACACACATGCACTAGTCGCTTGTGGCATATCTTCTGATTCCTCCAACATTTTTAGCGTTTATTCATGATTTTCAACGAGTATAACACAAAACTGCATATTTATTTGCTGCTTCGTGACGTTCTACAACGTCATCGTTTTTGTCGTTTTCAATGAGGACTACCTATCTTCTCAAATTGATTTCTTTTTACCGAAGCAAAATATTAAGCCATAATTTGGAGTACGAATCGATGTAACAGTTCTTGATTTAACCGTCTAGGATTTTTTCGTTTTTGCTCCATTTTACAGAGAAGATGACTACAGATATTATTTAGTGTATTGTTTGTAAATTACTAAATTTTGACCTGCGCCGCGATCCGATTTTTGAAGTTTTTAATTCTGGATAAGTTTTAAATAAATCATGATATTTTTGAAAAATTTAATACAAATCATTTAATTTTATTGTTAAAATATTTCTACCAAATTTGGATAACATATGACGTTAAATAAAAAAGATATGACAGAAGTCCACGAACTTTCCGAACAACCCTCGTATGTTCATTAAACACTTTGTCAAAACCACATGCTTTGTTATTTTTAAGCTTTTTGACACTGTTCAGTATTTCTTCATCACTGATAGCACAGTTTAGGATATCAACTGAAAAATCATTTGAAAAATTCGCTACATCTTCCTGTTCATCTAAGTTATCAGGAACAACATTACAATTTTTATCTTCATTCACATCTTTCAAAAAATTATACATGTCATTTATATCAACAGCACATTTCTTATTTTTATCGGATGCATTCAAAATTTTCCAATAATCTTTGGGATTTGTAGAATGCAAATCTTTGAGTTTTTTGGCAATATTCTTTCTATTATTTTTTATGCTCTCATCCATTGTTTTCTTATATATTTTACTCATAGCATTCAAATTACGCTTGTTTTCGGTCGATTTATTTCGATTATACATACGTTTAGCGAGATGAAACTTTTTTCTAGCGTTTCTACAGTCCCGATTAAACCATTGCTTATTACAATTATTTTCAACCCCAGCCCTTCTATCTTTATGGTACCCAAATGTTTCTTTTGCCGCACTAAAGAACACGTCAAATATATCGCGTGTTACAAGATTGATATTTTCCTTTGTTACATGAGTATTATCACCGCTTAAATCATCAAGTTTACTTTCAATGTTATTTACAGCAAGTGTTTCAATATTACCACAGAACTCCACTGATTTGTTAGGACACCGTAATTTTACACCTGAGTGATTTACACCTGTGTCGTTTGAAATAACAGTCTTACAACTAGATAAAAATACTGATAAGGCATTATGTACATCAGAATATAGATTACAAAATTCGACAACATCAAAATCACTAAATAAATCAAAAATATGCACACTGGCTAAAACATAATCTACAGTGCTACTATTTTTACAAGTTAAATCTCCCTTAAGTTTGTCGTTGCCTACACGACTATTTACAATATACATTTCATTATTCCTACAAAAATCAATCAATTTATGCCCATAGTTATTTACCGTGGTGTCTTTAACAGTTCTTTCTAATGGTATATTACATTTTTCAAATATCGTGGATCTTGTTAAAATATCAGTATACATGTTTTCGTTACAATTGTTTTGGTTCAATACAAATTCATCAGCTGTGAAAAAATCATTCATATTGCCTACTCTGGCATTAAAGTCACCAAGCATACAAAAATAATTTGAATCTTTATTAAAGTTGAGGAACTCTTGTTCAATTTCTATGAAACAATCAGGGGAAGCATATCTACTTCCTTCTGGAGGTATATAGACAACTCCGCAAATTATATCTTTGGTAGTATTAAATAAAATTTTGTTTATCTTGAACCACATAACATATTTACAATCTGTATTTATCATGCTAACATATTTCACAACAGTATCTTTAATAGCTACAATAATCCCCCAAGATCGGGTATTGGAAAGTTTACGTCTATTTTTCATATAAGTAACAAATCCAAGTATTTGTATTTTATCAGAATTATCAGTTTTAGTTTCTGTTAATCCAATTATATCATATTTTGAGATGAAATCAACAAATTCCCTATAATTCAGTCTGTTTTTTATCCCACATACATTTAATGACAAAATTTTTACATTATTTGCAAATTGAGCCTTACGGCGCTGGGTCTGTTCCTCCGCGCGATCCTATTGTCTGTTCTGATCCGGAGATGATCCATACCGGGCTCTTTTGTTATCCCGTCTAGGCGTCTGGGTTGGAACTCCTTGCTCTTGTTGTGCTACTCTTGCGTAACTCTGAGTCACTGGGGCGGATTCAGGAGGTGCGATGTATTTAACTCCATTTATGAAGAGAGTGTCTCGAACTAGCTTTACACGTTTGTGGTCGAGTTTTGCTTGGCGCATGACTGGATACAGTTTTTTTCTCCTATTCTCGATCTCTTGGGGAAATTGTTCATTCGCCCACACATTCGTTCCATGTAATCTTCGGGCTGCATTTTGCCGGATGTACTCCCTATCCTTATAGTAGGTAAATTTGGCTACTATATTTCTAGGCCACTCGCTGAATTCATTTGCTCTGCCCATTCTGTGCACTCGCTCGAAAGGAATGTCATAGTCAAGCCTGAATCTCCGACGTATTAAGTTCTGAATCACAGCCTCTGTATCCTCATCCTGGTCCTCTGGGATCCCTGAGAATACCAAGTTATCCCGCATTGATCTGGCTTTGAGATCCGTCACAGATTCTTCTAGTCTTTCCTTGGCTTCTTTTAACGCTTGGACTTCTGATGTCAATTTTTCTTCTAATGTTTTCTGAGTAACTGTATACTCGTCCAGGTTTTTCTTGACATAATCAACGGTCTTTTTATTTTTGTCTGCTGTTTCTTTCACCGAGTCAAACACATTACCTAATGCGCTCACATTAGTTTCAAGCTGTCCAAAATCATTTCTAATCTTTTTCACATCAGTATCAAGCTTTGAAGAGGATGATTTAAGTTCACTTATTGATGTCTGTATAGTCTCTAATGAGGTCATTCTTTTTTCAATTTCACACAATCGTGTCTCAAACCTTTCATTTTTTACTTCAATATTCGATAGTTTTGAATCCATCTGAGTAAGTAATGTATGAATGGTTGACAGTGAGATTTCGCACTCATTAGATTGCCCAAAAAGTACAGTACGGCTCTGTGCCAGGATCTCTGAAGTTTCAGTCGCAGACATTGCAAATAATGAGTATAATACTGTAGGCCAATACTCTAATGTAATATTAAAAGAGTAATAAGATGTCGACGCAGAATAAATCAGCAGTTCATAACTATTGTCATTAAGAAACGTGAGTTGTTCTCATGCATTCTTACACTCGTTCTACGGGAAAACACCACATAATCATCAAAAATCACCATTTCAGAGCATTAAATACAATGCAAAGCGATCAGATAGATCAAATAGACTCTCTTATGGATTAACACAATAACTATGCCCTCTCAATCACAAAAATATGAAGTTACTTTGATGTTTTTGTCGGAGCCTCTTGATAGACGACTTACCGCTTCGAATGACCTTCACCTTACCCCTGGATCCGCCTCTGTTCGGGAACCTGCAACCGCTAGATACAGTACTCCTGTGTGTTTGTACTAGTATGAAAATACACGGTATACAGTTCCAATCGATAACAATAGAGGGTAGTCTGAAGATGTATATACACGGTCCAATTCATTACGGCCAAAACAGAAAAGGGCAATCATGAACTGAATCTCACATTCTTTCTTTCAAACAGACACTTTCACATGTTTTAATTTGATGAAAAAGCATACAGATATAAAGTAGTATCTACTACTGCATATATATATAATTATATGAGCATATTTGAGTGAGACTAATAATTTTGATAAGTTAACGGGGGCAAAGGTGCAATGCTTGTTTAAAATACAGTTGAAATTAGTTATATTACTATAATATACAACACATTTTTATTTCCTTTACCATGTTTATGCGTAAATAATCAAAATATCACTGGACTACAAAGCTTATTGAACCATTGGCATAATATTCATCATACTGTTACTCAATGCATTTTTTGGTTAATTTTACTACTTCAACAT